CAGCTGTGTGCAGGAAGGATATCCTGTGAGTTCTGTTAGAGATGTTCTTGAAAGAGCAGTTAGAGCTCTCTCAGCCCCACCTACCTTACAGGGTGTCTGTTGTGGGGAGGGGAAGAGAAAGGAGTTTGTAAGCCGCTCTGAGACTCTGCGTGAAGGGCAGGGTATAAATCCAATCTCCTCCTCCTCCTCTTCTTCTTCTTGGTCTCCAGCATGATTGGGGCCAGTGGTGAGATCTAGGACAGGAATGGTGGCTGTAACTATTGGTTTGGGCCCTTAAGGAGGTGGTACTATGGAGCTGGGAGTGGCTGGTACTACGGAGTTGGAGGTCACCAAAGAGGAGAGGCAGTGAGTCCCAACTGGGGAGTGCTGTTAACTATTCTGGAACCAGGAATGCTGCTAACTACCTGGAGTGGCATAGGCTGCTGTAAGGTTACAAGAAATTGCTAATAAAGGAAGATGAAAGCTACCTTGATGTGACCTTATTCACACCTCACTCGGTCTGCTTCAGGCCTCGACACTGCAAGTACCCCACCCCACTCGCCTACAGGCCCCAGTCATAGACCTACATTCCTGTCTGACTAGCTTTCCATGTTCTGCTTACTGCAGGAGTTTCTTCTTGTCTTGTATACCACACATTGCTTACTCCCAAAAGATCCACCACTCTTCTCCTCCTCCTGCTTTGAGCAATTTTATTTAGGGCTGCTTCTACATGTTTTCCTTTAGTTTGGGTTTCAAACTGGAGTACTTGGGGGGGGGGACTTCCAAGCAACATCATACTCTAAATGTGCTCTGATTGTCCTCAGCACTCTCTTTCCCAAACTTGCTTTGCTCCAACATTTTTGGGGAAAATGCAGTCCAAGTATGTAATTATGCCATCTGCATTGAAAGGTGCACATTTTCAAAGGTCTGATCCACATCACCATTCTCCTTCCATGAGACCCTCACAGCTACAATTTTTCCTGCCAATAGAGCAGAAGGTCCCTGCTCAGCCATTGCCACTGGAAGGCCAAAAAGTGCTTCAAGTGGCAGTGCAGTGGACAGTGCAGTGGGGAGATCCCTGGAGAACAACTGGCAGTCAGAGCAGAGGCTACTGGGCAAGGTAGTCCACTGAGTCTGACAATATCAATAAACTTATTCCCTTGTTTGTATAATGAAACAATTAAATTAAGGATACAGAAGTAGAAGACATCAATTACCTGCATTCTTAGATACATATGCAACCTTGTTGCTTGCCCTTTTCTTGCATTAATATTCTATGTCACTCACCTTGAGGAAAGGCCACGCAGTAGCATATTGGATCTGCTGCCTCCTGCTACTGCAGCCATACTTCAGTCCCCACACAACCAGCTTTTTCTTTTTGTAGTCATTGTGACTATAGGGCAGATGGGAGGGTGTGCCCATTATTCAGCTCCAAATAAGACAGCAGAGACAGAACAAGGAAAGCAAGTGTAGGCAACAAGCTGCTGTGGGTCAGGGAAGAGGTCCAGGGGGATGCATGCCCACAGGTGGGCTTCATGTAGAGCTCCTTCATCCCTAGATAAAATGGTGTTGAAGAAAGTGCTGGCTGTATGAGGGCAGCCTGGGATAAAGTCAGATCCTGAACCCATTTATGTTTAGCCATTTGCTGCCCCCAGCCCCAGATGATTGAATGGTGTTTTATGTAGCAGGACAGCAGGCAGGGCTGTTGCATGAATTGATCAAAACTTTGAGCCAGCAGCAAAAGAACAGAGCAACACTGGGAACAGTATCCCTCTGTGTCCACTCTATGCCGTCTGCTCCCCATAAAGAGAGCTCTGCTTGGACCTATAAAGCCCTCCTGTCTTTGCAGGTGTCCTAGGAACTTGGCTGTGGCACTTCAGCTAGACACATTTATTACCTTTTGGATGTTATAATTCATCATTCATTCCTTTCCAAAGGCAAAGAATAGCCGTTGAGCATCTAGCTGCCCTTGCCTTCTCTCTCAGGTCTCTCTGCCAGTACATTTGGCTTATTTGTTCTCTTTCAGTCCTGTTCTTCCTGTCGCATTCTGTCCATTCAATGAAGAAAGAGTCAAACCGGATGGCTGGATTCAGTGCAGGGAAATGACTTCAGAGCTACTTTTGTTTCCCCCCCCCCTTCATTTCTTTGAACACACTGGGCCATGTGTCACTATGAAAGGGTTTGTTTTAACTATTTGGAAGTTCCCATAAGCAAAGCTGCATCAGCCAGCCTCACTGACATCTTTTGAGTCTGACTGAGATTTCGAGTGAAACTGCCAGGGGTTTGTGGCAATCACCCCACCATCACTACCATGACATTGGGCACTGTGCTATAAATCAGCCACAGCCGTCCAAGCAAACTGTCCCTTTTATTGTATCAGGGAAAGCCTGTATAGCAGTTGGCTGAAGCGCCAAACCTCAGAATGGCTCAAAGGATTTTTTTTTCCTTGCAAAGAAAACCAGCTCTTTGAAATCGATTTTATAGACCTGTGTGTGCAATTTCACAGCACACAGGACCACACTGTTTGAAGGCAGCTTGGCTGCTTTCTACACAAGTACACTTTCAAACCTATTCTGAAGTTAAAGTGAATGTCTGATAGCCTATTTTAAACCCATTTATAGAGGGGGGGAAGGAAACAGGCATCTTTTTCATTAGCATTTCCCCCATTCTGTGTTCACAAAAGTGTTCTGATGTTTTCCTCTCATTTGAAGAAGAAAGTCAGTTCTTATGCAGGCTCAATATATCAAAACATTTTTAAATCCAGAAAGCTTGTCATGATCCAATAACACTTTGCTTGCCTTGTGTTTACACGTCTCAGCCAACAGTTCACACAGACATAATCTGAAATGTTACATTCTGTTAATACTTTTCAATAAGGGCTTTAAAAATACTAAGTGATATGGTCAATATATCTTTAGTCACTGCACAGCTTGCTTACTGTGCTCACTGGAACTCTGTCCAGGAATGGTCATTCGTTACTCCCAGCTGTGAATCTCAGTGTCAAGAATAGAGATCTATAACCTACCATTACAGTCAGCAAAGTCTGAGGCTTGCCTCCTGCCCAGGGAGCCATTCTCCAACTTTAAGTGACTCTTAGGGTTACCAGACTCAGGGGCCTGGAGTTTTCTCAGGATTACAACTGATCTCCCAACTACAGAGATCATTTTCCCTGGCAGAAATGACAGCTTTGGAAGGGAAACTCCAGCACCACATCCCCCACTGAGCTCCTTCCCTGGGCACCACCCCCCGAACTTCCAAGGATTTCCTAAGCTGGAGTTGGCAACCATTCATCTATATGTTGTCGAAGGCTTTCACGGCCGGAGTTCATTAGTTGCTGTAGATTTTCCGGGATATGTGGCCGTGGTCTTGGCATTGTAGAACCTGACGTTTCGCCAGTAACTGTGACTGGTATCCTCAGAGGTGTCCATCTTTCTGTGTTTATACCTCTGAGGATGCCAGTCACAATTACTGGCGAAACGTCAGGTTCTACAATGCCAAGACCATGGCTACACATCCCGGAAAATCTACATTCATCTACTTAACTTGGTGCTCCTTAAGCTCTTTAGACTGGGGGGGGGGGGGCTTTTGAGATACAAACCATAAGAGAAGCCAATGCTGGATCCGGCCAATGGCCCACCCAGTCCAACACTCTGTCACACAGTGGCCAAAAATACCAGGAGGTCCAGCAGTGGGGCCAGGACACTAGAAGCCCTCCCACTGTTGCCCCCCCCCAAGCACCAAGAATACAGAGCATCACTTGCCCCAGAACTTTTTTTTTTTGCAGTTGCACACTGTCTTGACATTTTCATTGAGTTATCTACTACGATTCCAAGATCTCTCTCTTACATCTTACAATTGAAGGAACTAATCAGGTTAGCCCAGTCACTCATTGTGGGAACTTTTCAGATGACAACTGAAAAGAGACCTCTGTTCAAATCCCTACTTAACCCCAAGTATAAATTTCCACATTATACATCATCCCTCCAGGAAGGATCTACATCAGGTGAAAACCTATGCAAGGAGCAAGACAAAAATACAGTAAGTCATGTTAAAATGGGTCTTATGACTAGTGGTTTGATTCACAAATAAGGGTCAGGGCAGCAGCCTCCATGCTTTGCTTGTTGTGGGCCTTCTGGTATCTGGCTGGCCCTGGTTAGAAACAGGATGCTGAAGGAGATGGGCCCTTGCTCTGGTCCAGCAGGGCTGCTCTTATAGACGTGAAATCTGCAGACTCTCAGTGCTTTCTTCAATGGCAAATTTAAATCCATGACACTGTTCATGAATGCGTATATATTTAAATTTAATCAAGAGGTTCACTGAGGAATGATTTGGCTGTATCTAACACAGAATATCATCTTTCAAATAAAAAATAATAATGCTGGGACTCTGAAAAACAATACTAAAAGTTATAGGAAGGGAAGATGACAAACATTTCAAGTTGGGATATGTGAGCGTACACACTTTAAAATTGAATCCCTGCACATTGTTGTACATTTTATTTTTAAATAACTTATTTTTTCACCATTGCCAGGGGAAAGAGGGTTTTCTGGAAGTAATTCTAAGCTGTAAGAAGGAGAATTCAGATACTGCTTTATGGTCTGTAAAGAAGAGGTGGTTTAGAATACTAGTCTTTTTTGGCTGACCTCAATATTCCAGAGACAAAACAGAGAGGCAGCTGAGAATATACACCGAAAATAAAGAATTTTCCCAAAGGTTGTTGGAAAGGACAAGAGCTGGAAGTTTGGGGTCAGGAATGGCCCAGCTCCAGGGCTGAGGCACAGCGGAGCAGATTGAACAATAAACTTCTTGTTTGCCAACTGCAACATTTCCCCCAAGGCATCCTGTGGCAGCCAATGAGCTCCTCTCTCCATCCAGATTTGCCCTCCGATTGGCTGCCCTGTGTCATTCCTCTGCTCTAAGACAGGGCAGGATTTAAAGAAGTTCAGTTAAATCTTCATTTCCTCACATCTCAGCGCAAATTTGGAGATACTTTTTTTACGCCTCCCCCCCCCCTTCCCCTTCAACCTGCATCCTTTCGGCTAACGGACGTGTCTGGCCGGTCGCAAAGGTGTCCCCGCCCTCCATCGCCGCCTCCCTTCCCTTGCTGCAGGCCCTCTTCACGATGAAAGTTTCTCGCCCGATCTGAGCGCACCGCGAGACTACCATGCTGCGCCAACAGCCCCTGTACGAGCTGGCTGGCTTCCGGCAGGCGCCCGCCGTCTTGCTCTCCAAGCCAGCGCCCGAGAGGCCCCAGTTCGCTCCAGAGCCGCTCCAGCCGTCACCAGCAAGCACCAAGGGCGGCGGCGGCGGCGGCGCCAAGAGCGAACCGAACCCGGAGCAGCAGCAGCTGCGGCGGAAGATCAACAGCCGAGAGAGGAAGCGGATGCAAGACCTGAACCTGGCCATGGACGCCCTGCGGGAGGTGATCATGCCCTACTCTGCCGCCCACTGCCAGAGCTCCCCAGGCCGGAAACTCTCCAAGATCGCCACGCTGCTCTTAGCCAGGAACTATATCCTCTTGCTGGGCAGCTCTTTGCAAGAACTCCGGCGCCTCATCGGGGAGATGAGCGGCGCCGGGCCCAGGCTGCTGCTGGCCGGCTTGCCTCTCTTCGCCGCCCCGAGCCCGGTGCTCCTGACGCCGGCGGGGGCCTTGAGCCACCCCCACCCGGACAGCCTGCGCTCGGCCGGCAAATACCTCTCCCTGTCGCTGGAGGAGCAGCAGCAGCAGCAGTGCGGCCAAGTCCACCTGCCCGGCGGGGCCAGCCTCTGCCCCTGCGCCCTGTGCAAGTTCCCCCACTGCCTCCCCGCCGGACCGGCGCAGTTCTCCAAGTGACCGCCCCGGGCCGGGGAGGCAGACGAGGAGCCCGAGACGCCGGAGGGAGGGGCGGGGAGAAGAGAGAGGCCGCGCCACGTGTGCGGGACTGGCATGTGTGAACACTGACCCCTCGTTGCACTTGTCCTCGGGAAAGGGACGCCGGGGACAGTCTCGCCATCAGATCCGCGACTCTCAGCGAGGGTGGGGATGGGCGGTGGGAGACTTTGCTAGAGAAAATGTCAATGAAACAAAGCAGATGCCAATAAAAGTCGGCGCCTAAATGTATAGGGGCATCACATCAACCAATGCTGAGTGCTAGTGTAGGTTTCCACACTTATCAGGTAGTAGCCCCCACACACAGAGAGAGAGAGAGTTGGATTGGAAGATCCTAGTGTAAGATCGGCCTTTCACATGGAAACCAGTGAGACCTAGAATGTACCTAACTTAAGTGGGGGGTGCCCCTAATTTGTATCACTCTTTCAACCCTTTCGGGAAGTGCAACATCCGCTTTCTTTATACTCCTGTGTCTGGTTGCCATTTCTGATGACCTTCTCAACAAGTGACTCCCCAAGCTATCTAGTTATTTTTTATATTGTATAGTCTTTAATCACTAGTGATGTCATGTGTTTAGCAGATATTGCAACTGTGCCTATAAAGACCTCTGTAGCCCAATTATACTTATTTATAAGTAAATCCCACTAATTTTAATGGGACTTTCTTCCAAGTAAGTATGCCTAGGATTGTAGCTTTACTTTACTAAAAGAAAATGGTGAATTAGCAGCCTTAGCCCAAGCATAGATTTGATGAACTCTCCAGTTTAATGGCGATGAAGGCGACAAAGAGGCATTTTCCAAGAGACTCAAAAGAATGAAAGAAATGCTTCCAATTTCATTAGAAATTGTCTGGGGAAGTTGTGTTACTGCTGCTTTTATGATTGGATCTATTCAGTTTCTTTCTTGGGTGCAAGAAAGGTTTCAGAAAACCATGGAACTCACAAGTAGAATATTGTAATATGTTGTTACTGAGATGTGTTGTTATAGATTCCTTGCCAGTGGGGACAAAAAATTCTGAAAAACTTCAGATTGTTCAGTTTAGAATTGTTCCTGCGTGTGCTTAAGGAGGGATGTAAAAAATTTTTCAGTTAAAAATGTTTCAATTCTATATACAAATGAAGCTAAAACAGTGGTCTGATGTTGCAAATACACTCACATTATCTAAATAATTTCCTCTTTTTGTTCCAGAGAGATGGCTGTGATAGTCTTTTGCATTAAAAAGAACAAAGAGCCTTGTGGCATCTTTATTTAAAAAAAAACCTTTTTGTGTGGCATAAACTTTAATTGACCAGGTCCTGCTACTACATGCACAACACATTGGTTACTTTTTAAAGTGACACCAGACTATTTTTTGTACTTTTCATTTTTTAAATAATTGTTTAATTTTTAAAAAAGGAACCCTGCAGAATCCTGTAATTTGCACTTGTACAATTATAATCAACAAAAATAAATACCAGAATATTTGCATCTCTCTGCTGATTTCAGCCAGTGGCTGAAATAATTAGTATATTGGTGTATATATGTTGGCAATGCTGTTTTCTAACATCTAAGAGATTCTGCTAGTAACATTGGAAAGAGACTCTGAATCTTAGAACAGAACAATCATTGGCTTTATACGGACATTAAAGTCACTCCAATCCTACAGCTCACTTTTTTTGATTGAGTGGTGTTGTCTAAATAGTCTAATCTGGGGTAATATTACATTTTGAGTAGTACACCTTCTTCCTGTTCCTTTCTCCCCTCCTCTGTAACAACAAGCCTAGAGATTATAGTTGTTTCTGCAACAAGTCTCTGTTGATACAAAATCCACACCAATATGGCCTAGTCAATAGATGTGGTGTGCCACATACCTGGAAATTGTTCTTAGCAGACTGGTCCTTTAAAGTGCTTGATGATCCAATGTTGCTAAAACCATCCAGAATTTATCCAGCACATGGTGTTTTAAAAAGGAAGCGGGATGTGCAGAGCATATTTGTGACTTGAGAAGCTCCCATTCACTTCAGGGTAGCTGGTTCAAAAGCTGTTTGCTGAGGTCTGTGTCCCTTAGATCCACAGTTAATGGAAGGCATTGCTCTGGGGAGTGGCTCCTTTTCTTGATATATCTCTTTTTAGAAGAATGAGGGTCTTCTATTTTATTTTCCAATTATTCTGCTAAAAGATCCTTCAACTCACTTCTGTCTCAAATTTGGTTCCACAGTTCTGAAGCAATCTTAGAATCTGAAGCAATATGGGAGCAAGGAAAAGAGTCCCAGATTGATCAGGGGAGAAGTCATGGCCAGATAAGCCACATTGTGGTCCATATGCAGTTTGCAAGCTACTGTAGCCACATAGTGACTGGAAAATAGCCAGCATAGGTTCATGGCTAAAATACATTAAGACAGAAATTAAGTCTACAAAGTTAGATGATGAGGAAGGAAGAGTGTCCATTCAAAGTAAGGGGGAAGGGAACCACTGGACATGGGAATGTGGAGTAAAAGGAGCACAAAGCATTTGCTGCCTTCTCCTCCTGGGTCCAAATCCTTTGTCAGTTTGATTGCTTCTGGGACATGATTGCACTTTTCTTCCCACTAGGCTCAAGTTAGGAACAGTTTATCAGGCTGGGTTCTGATTTCTTCTCCATGTGGAATGGCATTCTAGGTGTCTCATCTTTAAACCTGGGTTTGATGTGGAATGAAGAAAAGGGCTCTCAGGACTCATGCATAACATGAAGGGGAAAAAACAACACCTGGAATGTTGACAGTGCACCCCAAAGTATAGGCCACTTGCTCTGTCCCAAGTTTATCATCCATTTAACCTCCATACATTTTTGTACTCTAGCTTAAACAAGAGTTGCTGTTTGGAAACTTGTGTATCCCACCTTAGGTAAACATGGCCTTAGTGTTTCCCATAATGTCAGCAAAAGAAAATCTGACAGGCAAAATTTTTTTTGCATGGAAACCTCAGAAGAATAGGGAGATGCAGAAAAGATACACGGAGATAAGTAGGTCTAGAAAAGCTTGCAAGTAAATTCAGAGGAATCTTGTCAAGTTGGCAAAAAGGAAAAATGAAGATAGATAAAACACACCACATGTGAAATGAAACAAGAAGAAATGAATTACTCCTACTGTTGTAATTCTCAGACAAAAAAACCCCATACCCCACAATGTATGATACATACATTTTTCAAAGCAAGTAATATAACCATGCAAGAAAAAGTAAAGTATAAGGCAATACAGAAAAGGGTTACATTCAAATCTGATGAAATGAGGTGTACTAAAATGGCAGCAAATACCTCACAGAAGGATGGAAAAATAGATACCAATTCTGCATCTTCTGATCATTTAAAATCACAATTAATGATTTGATGACAAATCAAGAATTCAGAAAGTTTCCAAAGAATTATGGGAGAGACCAGACTATTAATAGCTATCAGCCCAATTAAAAAAAGGAAGCTGCAAGTCCATGCACATTTACTTGTAAGTCTCAGTGAACTGAAAGGTAAATGCTGCTAAATATGTGCTGCTAATTTGCATGAGTTGCATCAATAGAATAATAATGCACAAAATTAACTAAATGCATTAATTCAAATGCCTTTGGGATACTGAGGAAAGGAGGAGAGAAATACATTTCCAAGCAAATTCCGAAGCCATAGGACATCAGTCTTTTCCCCCGACATTTTGCTCCAACTCTCCTTCAAAACTACAGATTCACAAGTATCTTCTTGCAACAGCAAAGTTTTTAGCTACCTAGAAACTACTTGCTTCATTGTAGAGCAGAGAACTGCACTTTGAGTTGGAGCCTGAATGTCTTGCAATGTATACAATTTACTTTGCTGAAGATGCTGGACAGCAACTTGTTAGAACCTAGCAAAGTTTGCTAGTTAATGAATGAACATACTGCTCAGGATTCACGTGATTACCAGCAAAAATGCGCAATGCTATGGGACGAAAACCATCTATTTTGAACTGTCCATCAGTATCTCACTACTACTATTCAGTGATTATTACTGAAGTACTATTAATGGTTACTCAACTCAAGAGCATAAGTACACTCATGGGCATAAAAAGATGAAGCATTGTACAGCATACTGTGCAGGTGCCTGGAACCATAATGTGCAATGAAAGCTAGAATCAAAATAAAATCTAGGATACAAACACAGAAATGGAAATTCAGCTGTATTTGGGAATCCATTCAAGGTTGTTATATCGTATTAGACTCTTGTTGGGGTCAAGGTTAAGTTTAAATAGATCTGTATTCTGATTTATAAGTTTTTATAGTTATGTTGTGAACTGCCCTGAGCCCGGTGGTGGGGAGGGTGGTATAAAAGTCAAATAAATAAACAAACAAACAAATATGAAGCTGCCTTCAGACTGATTGCTTTATATAAAAAAATCACTCCCAGAGAGCAAATTTTTCTAAGAAAGATACAGAATTTTGTGTTTGACAGGGGAATATAAAACACTGGTTGGGCAATGAAACAATAGATCTGAGATTACTTATTTTGGATTTTGGATGTTTTCAGCCTGTTTTAGATCAAGATGGGTAGTTGCATTAGTCTGTCTGAAGAAGTGAGCAGTGACTCATAAAAGCTCATACCCTACAACAAATTTTGTTAGTCTTTAAAGTGCTACAGCCTGTTTTGTTGTTTGTTTACTAGTTGTCAAGGACAGGGGTTGGCTGAGTGTTGTAGCAAGCCTCCACAAATACACAAAATTATTTTGAGCTCCTGTCAGCGTAATGAGGGTGAAACAAACAAAATCATTCTGGCAATAGTTTCCCCACCTTTCCCTTTCTTATCTGAGCCTTGCTGGGGCTGACCAGTAAAAGCAAAGGTGGACCTGAGCTATGTATTCACAGGCATTGCAGCCATGAAAAAAAACCAGGGGTTGGCGTAAGACCTTAATCCCAGCAAAGTGATGGGAAAAGAAATCACGTCTCCCCTAACAACTGTTCATACACCCTTAGAGAAGCCTGTCATGCTCTTTGAGAGGTAGCAGTTTTTGTGGATTACTTCAGAG